TCCGTTGCGTGTCGCTTCGCGTTGAATTTTCGTCGATGTTAAGCCTAACAAAGACTATTGTATCGTTAAAAATTATTTTTTTATTTTGTACAAACAAAATAAATACATTGAAAAATATAAAAATAATAAAAAATTATACTTCAGATGTTAATTTAGTATCAAAAACGTAAAATATTTGAGTAGCCCAAGACATAGCCAAAGATTGAAGCGCCACAGCACTAGCGAAAATTTAAATTTGCCGACTGGAATTCTTTCGGATGATTGACGTTTCGGATGATTGACTTTCGGAAAATCGACGCTCTACTGTATAAGAATTAATGAAATGTCATATATTATGCCATTACAAAACTCAATGTTCTACAGAAATGCGTAATTGAGAGATCTAAATGGAAGTTGGTAAACATAACTTAGAAACACTTGCTTAAGAAATGACAATAGGTTAAGCATTATTGTATAGTATTGGGTTAGTGATTTGTGACATAATTAAGCAGATTACAGTTGACCCCCCCCATAACACTGCTGATAATTCCATTTTATATGAATTCCATGTTGTACGAGTTACTTAGATTTTACAAATACGTGAGCCGTTCACAGCCCGGCACACATATTTGTAAAATCTAAGTGACTCGTACAACATGGAATTCATATAAAACGGAATTATCATAGTGTTATAGGGGGGTCGATTGTACTGTATTGTTAACACAGAGAGAGTCTTGGGAAGTGTACAATGAGTGGGAATCTGTAAAAAATTCTGTTTTACACAAAATTAAAGTTTTATCTTTGGATAGCACGCTTCAGTGTAATTCCTTCTGTCTTGAACATTATACACTATAAAACTTCATGTGTCAATCTGGTTAAGAATATAAAGTTCAAAATAAGATCCAAGGTTGAAACAAGTAAAATACTATAGTGTAACAATTTCTTAGAGGGACTACCTCAAACTTCTTTGACTTTATTAGTTAACAATTTAATTTCTAAGGACATTTCAAGAGTAAGTAGTCGAATGATGATTGGATCAGTGATTCTGTAAAGGGTAAATATGCACAACAAGGGACCAGACAAAAGAACAAGTCAATGTGTGTTTATTATACAAATTTTTAGAGGGCAGATTACAGATTCCCACTTGTTGAAAAGTACAAGACATAGTTACAATCACTCTCCATTCCTTATCAAGTCTCTTCTGACAAAATTGGTAAATTGCAGATGTACTTAGAAACTAAACTATAACTAATTACAACTAAGATTAAGAAGGGAAGAATGATAAGAATAAGAATCAGAATGGGAAGGTACCAGTATTTCAGACGTAAATTGTTGAGCAACCATTGGTGCTGTGCTTTCTTTCAAGGTGGTCCAATCAGTTGTAATCAAGTATATATCTGTGTTGGAATTGACATTACAAGAGGGTTCCTCACATGTGGAGAAAAGTTCTTACATTCATTTATCCACCCTTATTAGTTTAGTAGCTGAATTCCAAATCTGTATGTGTTCCCTCACACACAGTCCTCATTTCCCTCACACATGGTACCCTTCACACTTGGAGAAAGTCTCCATTTTCTTAATGGTTCCAGTATTGTACTAACTCGTAACTTATTGTTACAGTCCTGTTCAAGCACTTGCTCCTCCTACTCTCGTAGATCTTTGTCCAGATTGTCCTCAATCACGATCCAACATCTACACTTTTTGGCAACCCAAACCTAACTAACTCTCTCCTTTGGGTACCTGTTATTCACTTCTTTCTTCTTGTTCTTTCTTCTTGTTGCTAATCAGGACCCACCAAAGGTAAGGATAGTGCCATGTGACAGAAAAAAGCATGAAGTAGAAATGAGAAGAATTTTAGGAAAGGAAAAATGAGCTCTTATACTACATACAGTAAGACCCTGCATAACACGGGGGATTGACATTACAAGAGGGTTCCTCACATGTGGAGAAAAGTTCTTACATTCATTTATCCACCCTTATTAGTTTAGTAGCTGAATTCCAAATCTGTTTGACAGATTCCTAGACAATAAAGTGCTAAACGAAACAGCATTAAACGTGGTCATTTTAACATAGAGGAAATAGGGATAGGGAAACACATGACCAAATATAAACAAATTTTACTTTAATTCTAAGTTATTTTTATATTAATTTGTATAATAATATATATTAAATAACACATAAACATGCACACAGAAATGTAAAGTTCATTTTTTGTGACGAAGGTCCTGACTTTTCTGAAATTATCGTTCTTTTGCAATCAAGTCGTGAACTTTCATTTGTCACTTTTTTCTTTCCTTAAGCAAATGTCTCTAGCAGAAGAGCGCATNTTAAATAACACATAAACATATGCACACAGAAATGTAAAGTTCATTTTTTGTGACAAAGGTCCTGGCTTTTCTGAAATTCTTGTTCTTTTCAATAAATTCGTAAAGTTTCATTTGTCACTTTTTTCTTAAGCAAATGTCAGTAGCAGAAGATTGCATCCAAAAACGCCTCATTTTGCTTTTGCACTTCTTTCAAAATCTGGATCATTCACTACAATTTGATCAACAATTTCGGTTATTGTTACCAAACTTTTATTAAGGAAATCTGTAGAGAAATTTTATGGATATTTGTTTTCAGAATCTCTATTTTCCAGTTCCATGTGAATTCCATGTTCTGCCAGTTCTTGAAGGTCGTCATTGATAAGGCTTGCATCAGAAACCTGCTGTAACTCCTCAATATCCTGTTCGTTTACATCTCCTAGTCCTGCTGTATTGATTAGGTTGAGTTTGATCAACCTAACGATACAGCGATAGGTTGTTCTTGTTGAGAATTCTTAGATACCTTCAACCATAACTTCTTCCACTCTTTCATGCATTTATCAGTTAATTCTTGCCAAGCAAAGTCGATATTTCCAATGTCATCCATGATGTTATATTTTTTTCCAAAACTGCACCAAACAAACATAGATTTAAAGAAAGTACACCTTTTTGCCACCTTTTTCTGATTGGTTTGTGTTCGCAAATAATCGTATTATATACGAATCAATGAAATGCCACTAATTTAAATCAACATAAATTTTGAGCATTTTTTAAGGCTTCGAGCAGACCACGTTATATCAAATCAGCATTCAGCAAGGCAGCATTAAGCGGGGTCTTACTGTACAATTATATACAACAAAAAAATATCACAGACAGCTATAATTCAATGATGCTGTTAAATAGTAATAATTAATATTGGTAGAGTCTGGAGGTTGTATTTAAGCCAAACCCAAGTATTACAGGTCTCCATGTATTAAATATAGATTAATTTAAATAATGTCTATGTAGCAACTTTCACTCAGATTCCTCAATTATACAATTCTGCAGCATGTTGAGTAGGTCTGATTACTTTCTGAGCACACTATGTATCTGACAAAAAATTAATTAGCAATAAAAAAATCAATTATTAGTTTATTAAATCACCTGTAATATTATACTAAAAAGACAGGTCTAGTTTATTAAAAATAAAAAAAAATTCGTCTCTTGATTTTGGTAAATATCAATATTTCACAAAAAAATTAAAATAATAATAATAATTATTTGAGGACATTAAAATTCTAACATCACAAAATTTACTAAAAATATTAAATCTAAATGATTAGCACAGATTACAAAAATATGATGAATAGTTTAAAAAATTTTAAAAAAGTAAATTATTTTAAATATTTGCCTGAATTTCATGAGAGAGCATTGTAAACTCATTAAGACAGGGAGATTTTGATGCTTCTAAAATAGAAGAAATATGATGAACTGCAGATCTTTGTAATTGTTCACTAATACTTGAAAGATCTTCACATCTTTGCTTCCAAAACTGTATTTCTTCCAATAGTCCTATTGTTTCCACTTGATTTGCAGCATTTTGAGTACCCAAAATTTCTTTAATTTGACGCACCCAAAGCAAAACAACACCTAAAAAAGTCATATTTTTTAAAAAAACCTAATTTTTAGAGTTAGTTAAAATAATTATTTTATTTCTGTCATACAATTAATTAAAATCATTATAAAACTCAAATTAAAAAAAAAGGAAAATAATATTTAATTACAATTTTTGTGATTACTCAGGATTTATTTCTTCATAATTTGAAGTTTAGACTATTTACAAAAAGTCAAATTTAACTTTTGAGTCCAACTTAATTGTAAAAGTGTCAGAAACCTACAGAGAAAGGCTGACACTTGATCTTTTTTAACCATTGGGATTTTTTACNCTGATGCAGGTTACAAAGGCTACCAACTTAGCCAAATAGTCTAAACTTCAAATTATGAATATTTAATTATGTTTTTTTTAATAAATAATTTCTTGTCTAAATGTTTTATAATTACTTATATCTCAATAATGAAAAACATATTATTATTTCCAATTTTTATACACTCATTGACATAAAACCATGCACCCAGACAGAATTTTCCAGTTATTATAAAATTAGAGCTATCTTCAAGAAGTACGTAAATGATTATAGTTGTCATCTGATTTCATGTCAGATAATGCCACTGGAATGCCTTAAAACTGCTGCCCTAGTATCCTATAAAAAGGCCTACAGAGGCTTATTGTGTTCAGAATTTTCAGTGTACCTGTTGTTTGAAAGTAAATGAATCCATGTTTGTATAGATTCAGAGTAGAGAGACTGAATCTATCACATCTATCCCTAATTACAAAAGTTAAATGGTCCAATAACAATGAATGCCATGGGCCATTTAGAGCTGATGTCAGACAATTATCAAACATGATAATTGTCTGACATCAGCTCCAATTGGCCCATGCCTATCCTTGCTATATTCTTGTCAAGAAACAATGTACAGAAAAACACTAATGATAATATTTTGAAAAAGAAAGGTAAAAACAAAATGCTCGAAATTGCTTCACACAATGCCAAATAGTTTAAGAAAATATTAATACTGTCTGTCAGCATTATTATTTTACTTGAAGTAAAATAATAATGCCAACAGTGTTAATATTTCATAAGGTAAAAACATGATTAGTAAAAGGGCACTATTTAGCAACTGGACCTAAATAAATAAATAGCAGGAAAGTGCAGATAGAGATATACAAAAAATTTTGAAAATAATATAATTACTACATGTGTACATTTATTAGAGTCTTAGCAATATTTTTGGTACCCTTGGCAATGCATTAGTTTTTTAGTTCATGCCTTAGCACTTGCCCTATTGCCAATGCATTGCTATGGCTCTGCACTCAAAGAAAAAATGTAAATAGTAATATTAATTAAACAACTGGCTTTTTTAAGTTTTTGTTACATTTTATTTCTAAAAAAGAACTTTATTTTTAGTCATCATATGCATTTACCAGCAGTAACATTTTTAGAAAGAGAGCACTGATCATTATGTTCACACTAATAGTTTCATTTGATTCCAATTCCTCCTCCTAGGTGTGTAACTTATTTTGGCAATAGGTGTATATACACTCATGTCCAAAAAATAAAAATAGCCATTAATTTGGCCTATATCTTAGGAATTAGTAATTCCTGAAAAGAATGTGAAACTTAATATACAATCAGGACATTGTATTCTTTATGCAACAAACCGAAAACAAGAAAAAGTGCTGAGCATTATCATTTTCTTGCACAGAAAATGGCAATTAATTTGGATTAATTTGGCATATGGTTTCCTCCTACATGCACATATTTTGTACAGAAATTGATCATTCTGATTATAGCATTGTCTATTAGCTCTGTCAAGAGCAAAGTCTATTCTTGAATAAGAATATCTTGAAGGACCTGGAGTGTTTCTTAATGAAAGCTAAGGATATGCACTCATCAATAATTTTCTTGACAGAGAAGATATTCATTACATGAAATGGCCAGCAAGATCTTTAGGCCTAAATATATTAGAATACATGTGGGATGATCTAGAGAGATGAGTTACAGCACAGAGGAGAATAGGGGGGAAAAAAACTCTCAAAGTTTTTCTTATTTGTGGTGCAAGTTTCATGTTGCTATCATCTGTAGCTAATTGTTCAGAAATAAATTTTGAGAAGTGTCAAATCTTTTTGAAACACACTGTATGAGTGAAATATTAACATTTTAAAATACTGTGTATGTTATAAGTTCAATATTAATATAACAAGGATCATTCAAAAAACATTATCTAGAATCTAGAGGGTATTTTTTTTTATCTGAAGAGGTTACAAATGCAATTGGTCAATCAATAAATAAATACAGTGTATATATATATATATATATATATATATAATACAGTGTATATATTATCAATAATATAAATTATATATATATATATATACACACTGTATTTATTTGTTATACTGTATTCTGTATTTATGTGTATATATGTATATATATGTACATATATACACATAAAACAATAATCCTTATGTGTGCTTGTGTTTTACAAAATTTGTTTTATATAAGGTTATACAAGGTAGTATTGTTTTCACTCTCTAAGGGAGTAATATCTTCCTGGACTCCCCTGAAAGAAACTCTAACAAGGATGAATCAACCATTGTAGTTAATATACTGAATTAATCAAAGCACTTTTGACAGTGGATGAAGTTGAAGGAATGCTAATTTTTTTTTCACCCAGTTCCTTCTATTAAGAGTCACTAGTTCTTTGTTCCTTCCTATATGTGCTCACTTCCTTTTTTCAATGATCTCTTCTGCCTGCTTGATGGTCACTTCAGATGAAACAAAGCCCATCAAGGAAAAAAAAATGTTGTCACCTCAGTTCTCTCATTTTTTTACCGTTTCTATACATCACCTTCTCTTTTCCACCAATCAGAACACTTCAAGAAGATGGCCCAATTGAACATCTTCAGACATGCACCTGATAAACAGACCTTATTGCCTCCTGCAATAAGTTTGACCAAGGCATTGTAACAGCTCAGGTTAAAAAACAAGAAAAATATGGTATGAGAGTATCACATTATTTAACATTTTAATCTATATCAGAAAAATAATAAAAAATTTTGTATAAGTAAAAAAATATATTAATGTAATTATAACAAAAACAAGTATTTCATTTAATGGGAAATCTTCTGTTTATTTTTTAGACCCACAGGAGAGAAGTAAACAAACAAAACAAAATTAAAGGAACCAAAAATACAATAAGTTTATTTACTCGCCGGGCTGATGCAGGTTACAAAGGCTACCAACTTAGCCATATCCACCGAATGAAACACACCCTTAAATTAATGAACCACCGAATAATATAATACGCGACAAGAAAGTGCGTGTGTAGTTCCTGTCCGGCCGGATTGACTAATCCCTTAAACTACGTTAATTATGCTAGTTCCTTATTTCTAGATATTAGTATTGGATAGAATAAGTTTATCAGAAGGTTTGGAAGATGAAGACAAGAGATAGGACAGAGGGTACCCAAACTTGATAATTGGTGCTCCTTGCAATGGTCGATGCGTCTAGTTTCTCCAAAGTTCGTTCTTTTTCCTCACATTCCCAGGTCATCGCCTATCCGATACGATGCTGAACGTACGCTCTCCTGACTCCTCCTCTGTCTGCCTCCTCTGAGCTCTACTCTCCTCCCCCGATGCACGTGTTCGCCCTCTCCCCTCCTGTGTTCTCTTCTGTTTTTGGAGTGAGTCATCCACATACCAATGCAAGTGTAAACGAGCACATTCCAGGAAGGGTAGACGAATGGATATAAAGAGGGAAAGTAGAGAGATATATACTCAAAAAAAATGAAATTACATACAACATACAATATAAATATGGCATGTAGCCACATATTTGATGATAATTTTTTATATCCAAGGTTCATAATTAGTAGTCTTTAAGACTTTTTATGACAGCATTAGGACTTTGCTAAGTTTTGAAATCTATCAAATATTGATAGATTTCAAATGTGGGTATCTTGAAATTGTCATGCAGATCACAGATTCATCATCACTGACCTAGGCTGTGGACCATATCATAGGTCCAAGTATGAAGATTGCTTATTAACTGAGTTGAAATTGTTAATTTTCCTTCAGTTTCATCCACTGTTAAAAAGTAAATTGATTAATTCAGCAGTTATTAATACAGTAGAGCATCGATTTTCCGAAAGTCAATCATCCAAAACGTCAATCATCCGAAAGAATTCCAGTCAGCAAATTTAAATTTTCGCCAGTGCTGTGGCGCTTCAATCTTTGGCTATGTCTTGGGCTACTCAAATATTTTACGTTTTTGATACTAAATTAACATCTGAAGTATAATTTTTTATTATTTTTATATTTTTCAATATATTTATTTTGTTTGTACAAAATAAAAAAATAATTTTTAACAATACAATGGTCTTTGTTAGGCTTAACATTGACGAAAATTCAAAGCAAAGCGACACGCAACGGATAAAAATTTCGACATCGGATACGTTAAACTATTTTTTCATACGTAAATCAGTTATCCGAAATATCAGTTATCCGGAAAACCCCAGTCCCCAATTGATTCAGAAAATCGACACTCTACTGTATGTTTTGAAAATAAATTTGATTTAACAGACTCATCAAGAGTAAACACTCTCCCCCAATTGGTTTGTTATGTTTAGGATCTACTGTATATTATACTCTCTACTGAAAATGGTAATAAACAAGAATATAATACTAATTTGGGATCTTTGTCTTAAATTTGAATTATATTCTTGTCTATTCTATATATTCTAGAATTGCATTCATATTCTTGTATACCTATATAATTTGGTTTATACCTTCCAATCTCTGAACAAGTTCTTTATCATTAACTGCATCTTCAACTGATACATCTTGTCCTTCTTCTGGTATATATAAAACTTTCTTCCTAATTAACTGATAACTGCAATCTGTTAAATTAGCAAGAAATTTATGAAGTTGAAATGAAAAATCATTTTTCACATCTGAATAAAACTGCTAAAGATTACATTATTTTGATATTTGAATTATTAGTGAAAAAAATATTGAATTATATATATATATATATATATACCCAAGCATTTGATGGTTAAACGTAACGAAAATGATAAAATATATTTAGTAAAAATCTAGTATTTTAGTTAACTGTTATGATAGTAATATTTTTGCAAAATTATTTGCAATATAAATTGCTAATAAAAATAAGAGAAATTGTCATCTAATAGTAAATTTAGTAAGTATGCAATTAGGCTCACAGAGAATAACCAAGGAAAACTAAGATTACGCTGCTCCCTCTCGTTCTGGAACATTGATAACACATAATGAGTGACAGTCTATCTTCTCCCATATTTGCCATTTCTTTTCAGCACCCCTTATCTGACACCCAGAACATGCCCACCTTTCCCTTAGTTGCATCCCTGCTTGTATAGCCTGTAACCATTATGTATTGTGCATCTCTCTTAAAATGTCTTTTAAATGCAGATGTGAGGAACCAGGACTAGATTTAATGTAGTCTCTACCATTTACTTGCTAACAAGTTTGTTAAACTTGCCCACGTTGTCTTTGGATGGCTTAAAAGGATGACAAATTTTTATGAAGGATTACAATCTTTGATCTCAAACGATCAAAGATTGTAAGATCCCAATCTACAGTCAGGATTCCCCACACCAGATAGGGAAGAGATTTGTGCCCTATCACGCATTGAAGATATTGTTTAATTAGGAGGGCTGATATGTTGATGAGTGGGGAGAGTCATGGGTAAGTCCAAGTCATAGCAGGGTGAAATTGTTTGACTTAACAATAAAAAGGAGTCAACTAGTTAACTAACAAATAAAGGTTTACTAATATAAAAGATAACAACAATGAAATACAATATAATACTACAAATAGAAGTTATCATGATCGAATTTAACTCTACTTACACCTCTAATCTGAGAGTATATTGATAATCCGAGAGTATATTACTATTCCAAGAGTATACTATTAAACCTTTGAGAGAGAGAGAGAGAGAAAGTTTACAAATATCTAACACACTACCTCAAATGTTGATCGGTTGGTAGTCTTCTTCTGTAGCGTTGAACTTGTAGAGAAGGACGATGAATTGTGGAAACTCTATTCTTGATTTGAGAGCACAAGTGAGAAATTACATGAACTCTTACTATTATGCAGGTTCTTTGGGATCGTTGACTGGCTTCTATGGCAATAGCAAAATATGACCTACTTGAACCTATAACCGGTGCATACAGAGTTTAATCTTCCAAAATGAATGTTTTCTTAAGAAATTTTTTATTATTTTGCTATATTGCTAAATTATTTTGCTATATACAACCCGGTGTGCGGTTACTGTTTTATATTCTATGGCAATGTCCTATTTCTATGTTGACTGCCATCATTTATGGACTGTTCCAAGGATGAAGAACTGTGTCTCCTAAGATAATGTCATATTTTCATTGACTGCCCAGAATGGCGGGAAAATCACCCTTTTTATTGTCCTTTCTGTCCAATAGCGTAAAAGAATCCGCGGTTATTAACGGGATGTATGGGCACATGGGGAGAGGGCGGACTGCCAGATGGATGTCAAATTTGTAGATAAGTTCTTGTGGAAAAAGGAAGTTGATTTCCTTTTCTAGCAAAAAAGTGATACTGTATCTTCTCTTTTTTTTTTTTTTTTTGAATTGTTTACAAAAACTAAATACATTTCCCACACTAATTAACTAGTAAAATCCTGATTCTCACACACAACCTGTGGATTATATGCATGAAAATATGGTATTTAGCATATAATCCACAGGTTATCCGCATTTAAAAGACAATTTGAAAGAGGTGCCCACCTCTTTCAAATTGTCATATATCTTGGCCAAGCTATGTACACAATGCAAAGTACTTAGAGTTCAGGCTCCAAAAGTTTTAAAAAGTTTGATATCCCCTTTTTAGTAATGCCTTGAAGAGCACCTTGTCAAACATTCATCAAACAATCCACTAATTAAATAGATTGGTCCCTGCTACTGTACAATTTTACAGTCCATCCAAGATTTGTAAAACAAGCTGTAACTGATGGCCATTTTCAAATTTCCTTAATTCTATTTATATAATACTGTATTTTCACAATTTAAGATGTACTCATTTTTATTTTTCTAAAGTATAGGCACACCTTACAATTGATAGTCAAAGCAAATGGGCCAGATGATGTGTTATGCACCAATAATAGGTATGTTTTGGCTATATTAGTCAAAGGTCACATCAATTCAAATATGCTTTGCTGGTTATGAGTATTTAATTTAAATGTCTGTTTAAATATAAAATGTCTTCTAGATGACATTACAATGCAGTATTAAAATGAATAGTTATGAGTTAGTTACTAAAAATTACCTGTCATGATATTTATATTTTGTATTTTAAAATTATTGTTACATAACAGAACTTAAAAAACTGATTTTTTTTATAGAGGAAAATTTCTAAATAAAAGTCTTAAAAAATTCAATTCTGAATTCATAGAATGAATGGTGTCTTAGAATTGAGGAAATAAAGATAAAGTTAAAAAGATTATAATCTAAGTTTTTAAAACAGAGAACACTGAATAAAATAAATTGCTTATAATACTATTCAAAAAATTAATTATAAAACTTTTGAAAATGAATTACATACAACATGCTGTATTTTTCATTTAAACTTTACTTTGCATATGAACTTCTAACAACAGAAATGAAAAACATCAAACATAAAATTAAAATTTTCAAAAGGATACAACTTGGCCAAGTTTTGTTGCTAAATAATATTGGAGCATATATTTTTGATATCTGTTTTAATAAATTATTTAAATAATCAGATTTTATAGTTCCATACTGAAGTGACCAAGGAAGATTCTCATAAGTAATTCTTTCAAAATCATTTGCTTTAAGGAAATAACAAAGTTCTTCCACATAATATGTTGGCATTGTTGTATCAGCACATAATTTACCATCTTTATTAATGTAAAAGACTAAAAGATGTTGGGAAGCATCCACTAAATAGCGAAAAATTATATCATCATGACAATCTTGCCACATATCTGGTTTCAAACATGACAGTATAGTTCTTTCATGTATTATTTGACACTAAAAATAATAATTCATAATTTTAATTAAAATATTTAATACAAGTTTCTTTCATTTTTATGTATTTTTTTAATTAAATAAAAAATTAAACTTTACATTAATCTTATTGTAAGAAAATACAACCACTCAAACTGGATAAACCTGATATAAAACTAACAAAAAACCAAATAACCAACAGAAAAAATTGGAAAGTGCTAACATTTCTGCCCATGTTGAACAGGCATCCTTAGGCTAACTAATCTTGCAGCTGTTAAAACATTATGGGACTGGCATATATATGTAAAAAAGGGGGTGATGTAAAATGGAGAGAGGGGGAGAGAAAAGTTAGTTAGTTTACAGTTTGAAGGACTTCCATGCTATGGGGAGAAGTTAATCACAGAAGTTAATAGCAGTATTTTGCAGGCATTCTTATAAATTTCCATTTGTTCCATGTATCTAAGAAAGGGTTGCTGGGAAGAGCTACAAATGAAACATGCACAGTCGAAATCCACATCGATGTCGGGGTTGGAGGCAAAGATAGCTAGCACAGTACTACCCAATCTTTTCAGGATGGAATCCTGATGTTCTTTGAGACAAGTGTTTAAAGGGCACATTGTAGCATCATGTATTTTAAGTTGCAATTGGATCTGTAATCAGATGTCCATTCAACATGGGTGAAAACATTAGCACTTCCCAAGTTTTCTCTGCTGGTTATTTGGTTTTCTTGTAGCTTTGTACCTTATGTAAGATTATAGATTACAATTTTGTAAAAAAAGTAAGAAAAAATTGTAACTATTAAAATAATAAATATTTTTCAAATCATATAGTATAGTTATAATAAAGTGAAAATATAAATCAATTTGATATACATAATTTTATTTTATAATCTATAAATAATTACAATTATATTATTATTTACAAACATAATTATTGTTTTACACTCTATATATCATTGCTATACTTACTGTGCATGGGTATCACTACCAAAAAGAAAATTGTTCCTACATACAAATAAAATTAATTGACAGATTCATTTCAATTGCATTATGGGAATTTATAGAACTTAAAAAAATTTATTAGTTTTAATTTCTACAGTATTTATAAAGTGAAGACATTTATCAGGATTAATTCATAATACTCAATACTATATATATAAAAGTAAGACAAAATTTGAATAATTAGCAATCCAGATAATTTGTGTTTAAATAACTGGAGTTGTACTGTATATCTGAAAAAACAACTTTCAAAATATTAATGTATGTTATTCAAAAAGTACAATATAATGGAAATAAATTAAAACAAAATTAATATTTATTTATTTTAACAGTGGAATTAACTGATTTTTTAGAATCTACATCATTTACCAATCCAATTTGCCTGTACTTTTACTGATAATATTTTAATACTTTCTTTCATATACAATAAACATATCATCTGTATACATACTTCACAATAATTAAAAATACTAAATCTATAATCCAGCTATAAGTGCTAAGAGAAAAAATTCAACCTAACGAACTTGGAATTGGAGTATGCTCAATCAGGGGATAAGTAGAAATGGAATTTGTATTAAAATAGTTATATAAAAGATGAAAACACACTAAAAGATGCAGTGGAGGCAATCCCCAAGGTAACAAGCAAAGTGAAAGCAAAAGTACCAGAGGGTAGACGCCCCAAGATAATTTTAATAAATGTGCTAAACTATATAGAAGAGAGCAAGCTAACTAAAATTTTGTACGAACAAAACCAGATATGGCAAGGAATGGGCCTTGAGGAGTTTCAGCAAATGTTGTGTAACCACGACCCTTAACCTATTCAATGTTGAAATTTTTATTTGTTGCCTGTGATGCCATGTTGAATTTTCATCGATGTTAAGCCTAATTTTTTTTTTTTAAATAATAATCATGTTTACTGTATCGTAAAAAATTATTTTTTTAATGTTTCACAAACAAAATATATATATTGAATAATATAAAAACAAAAAAATTTTAAAACTTTGTTTTAATATAAAAATTGTGACGCAAAGCGACATTTGGTATCAAAAACAGTCTGATGTAAACATGGAAATATTCGAGATCGCCCACGCAGGTCAATGAGGTCAGCACGAATATTTTCGGGATCAACGTATGACAGGTTAATAAGGGCAATGTTAAGGAAGAGTGCTTGCATGTAGTAATGGGTGTAGCCCCAGAAGTAAGAAAAATTTTGATAGCAAGTAAACACATAGGGCTTGCCTGGAGCAATGTTAAGGTGGATAATTTTGTATACTTACTCAGGTGCTTCAAATGTTGTGGCTACAATCACTTTGCCCGAGACTGTAAGAACCAGCAAAGGTGTAGCCACTGTGCAGAAGACCACCATTTTTCAGATTGTCCAAATAGAAACAAAAAACTGTGTATTAATTGTCAGAATGCAAATAAAAATTTACCAGAGGGGAAGAGATATGCCCCTGATCATAATGCTTTCTTAACAAAATATCTGATATCACATAAGACAAAGACAGTAGTTATAATGAAGACAAATTATAGGGAGTAAACCCAACAGTAACACAGATTCTGTCAACTTGCTTCAACAAAAAGTTAAAACTTTAAGAACAATAAAAATATTTCACAAAATATAACACACAAAATATCAAGTCGGCATGCTCCCTGTTGGTTAAGACAGCCAACAATCTGCAGGTGGATCTCATAGTAATGCAGGAACCATACATAATTGGCAATAATATAGTCAGATTTGGGAGTTGGTAAATTCTGCAGAATCAGAGTGACAAACAGCCAAAGTGTGGCATAATTGTCTGAAATGAAAATTTAGAATTAGCAATGATCCCACAACTCTCAAATGAGAAATTCACTACCACTATAATATATCAAGATCCACAAATTTACTTAATGAATGTCTATCTTTCCCCAGCAGAAGATGACAAAACTTGTGTTAGCAAACTGGAAGATATTATAAGAAAACTGAATAGCTGGAATATAATTATAATGGGCGACATTAATGCAAAGTTGCCCATATGGTTTAATCCTCTGGAAGACAGAAGAGGAAGGAAAATTTCAGATATGATGGATGAAAACAGGATTACCTCAGCAAATATGAACACTTTCTACACTGCAACAGCAGAGAATGAGTTGAGAATGGAATGAGTCCTAGTCATTGAAGAACTAGACCACAGAATAGAAAATTGTGAGACTTTACTTATACCTTCAGGGAGCGATCCAGGCACCTTATCACAAAAATAAACAATTTTCAAATAGGAGAATGTACCAATGGAAGGAGAATATGCAGACTGACCTACCAACTGGAACCTATTTAGAGAGGAGTCTACTAGGAAACGGAGAGAGTACGACTTCCGAAAACTTACTACAAACTCAGACATTGATCAGTATGTAACACACGTAACTTAAGTAATGCAAACAGTTGGACAGCAAGCGACCAAAATAAAAAATACCAATAAAAAAACACCTTGCTGGACAAGCGAACCAGAGAGGCAGAAAAAGCAGGTCTGCAAACTTAGAAGGAAAATGACCAGAAACACCATCAAAGAAAGAAAATGACCAGTGGCATGCCATCATTGGAAGTGGTGGATGCTCCGCTTCCCTTGTATTTTCTAAAAAATAAATACATATTAATTTTAATTACAGTAGGGCATCAATTATCCAAAAGTCAATTATCCGAAAGAATTCCAGTCGGCAAATTTAAATTTTCGCCAGTGCTGTGGCACTGCAATCTTTGGCTATGTCTTGGGCTACTCAAATATTTTATGTTTTTGATACTAAATTAACTTCTGAAGTATAATTTTTTTATTTTTTTATATTTTTCAATATATTTATTTTGTTTGTACAAAATAAAAAAATAATTTTTAACGATACAATAGTCTTC